CAAGAACATCTCCATTTTTTTTTGAATAATGTCCGATATAAGTTCATGATTATTTTCAGCAATCTACGGCCGATCACCTCGACATTGCGTCGTTCGACGTCGCCAGCGGTTTCGTCCAGTGCCATGCAATTCAGTATGCTCTCACCGTCACCACCGCGAAAATCTCGCGACAGTCTGCTCAGCCTGTACTCGTCCACATCGCGACCATTCTTCTCGGCATTCTAACCTCTCTCGACGGCTCTTTCACTTATCGTATCCGTGCGTGTCATTCTCTCGCACTTCATATCCGCTGCTACAGTTCTCGGGCGCAGTGCACTTCTGCACGCGTCCTCTTCCTCTAAGCGCCTCTATTCGTTCATCTTTCGACAGAGTATCTATTATATTGAACGTCTATTGTACATAGGACTTACCGTACGTATCTCATCTGCGTCACTCACTCAGGTGTGTCCGATGACGTCATCATCATTACCGTAACTAGTCAGACGTACTGTAGGCAGAGCAGTGCCGACTGCATTATTATTCCAAACTCTAGTTACCTTTTATCCATGTCATCCAAATAGCCTTGTCAATTTCGTCAGCTGAGAGGCGTGATGTTGCGACGTCATCAAGTAGAGTTGATATGATAGGTCGCGTCGCAACCGCACGCGTCTCAACACGTCCAACGCAGACAAGACTGCCAAGGTTGTGGATTGCTTCACTCTTTCAGTTTATTTTCTTATCGAATCTGATCGCATTTGGTTCAGATCGATAAACTTTATTTAGTTTTATTTGAATACAGCATCGGTTGTAGAAATGATTTTAAAAAATAAGTGAAAAATGACTCAGGTCTAAAAAAACAAGCTATGTCATCCGAATTGATTGGTTGATTCATAGGCCGTGCATATGGGATTGAATGGATATCGATTTTTTCGCGAATTCTCGCCATCGCCTACAGTATAGTATAATCCGAAGGTGTTGTTGAGTTGTAACCGGGTACTTCGATTGACTTTGGTTCTCCTCTTATAACTTCTACTTGGAAAACTACCTGTATTTTCAATTACTTGTACTAAGTCACCTATGACGAACATATAATGATTCCTTATATATAAATAGATAATATGCGTTTAGGATTGTATGTATAGATGAAAATTTTAATAAATTTTTCAAAACGTTGTTCTTGTATCTATTTTTCGCTGTTGATCGGCTGTGCGGATCGCATATGCGATTCAGGGGAATCTTTTGAAGAACATGAATGAAGATAGAGTTGCTGGTATCGTTCAAATCAGATTAGGCCATTCACTCGATTTTGTTGGGAATTACGTGCCATTTTTTAGGAGGAGGGGAAGGACGTTGAGGCACTGCATTCGAAGGCAGAAGTTACGATAAAAGATAAAAAAGGATAAAGCATTTGCCGTTGATCAATCCCTTTTTGGGATGCGGCACGCATTCTACTTCCATTTGTACATTCGTAGTGGCGTTTGAATGCGATGTGGCCTATACAATGACTTGCGGGGGCCAGCCGATGTACAAGTCAGTGTTTTTATCCTCCCAGACAAGTCTGGTACCAATTAACCGACCCCGGGATGGAAGGCTTGGTTGGCCCGGGCGACTCACGACCCAGGATTTGATCCCCGGACCGCTCGCGTGGTAAGCGTGCCACTTGCCACTACACCACTTCCGCCCTGAAAAGTAGCTCATTGAAATAAGGGTAGAGGTGTCAGTGGAGCAGGGATGAAGAAGAAACCATTTGAAACGGCCCAGAACCCGAGAAATGGGACCCCTTCCTTGCCCGTTGATTTGCGCATTGATGCGACTCTCATCGCTGTGCCCTCTTCAACACTACGCTCCGAGGTCAAATCTTCGCTGCCAATTGCGCGTCGGTCAGCACCCTCAGGAGGTCCGCCTGTCTCCCAACTATGCAATTTCCCCTTCTTTGACCTTCGTTCTTATCGTGAATTCCTCCTTAAAGTTGGAATTCTTGATTTGTTTCTCCGATTTAGCGCACAATTAACCCATTCCGAAGAGATGGAGACTTTCGCTAGCTCTGAGAGTTCCGAGCAGAATTCGATTTTCAAAATTTGGAAAGAAGAATCCGCTGCACTACGTGTGCTTGGAGATGCTTGGGACCGCAGCTTCGCAGAGTGGGATGGATTTTTTCGAGGTAAGCAAACCAGCCCTTTTGGCGTTTCTGCTGGGGTCGTATGCTGAACGTCGGGGAGTGGCTGCGGTCCCCGACGGTCGATGGGCTACTTCAACTTGGTCTGTACAACAGGAGAGTAATGACGTAAGT